GTAATTATTAAGTACCACAAATACATTAAAATCTTTTATTATTTTAGGTACGAAGAATCAGTGTCTTGTTAATGATTCTGTGCCTAGCTGGTAAGTATTCATTATAAAGAAGCTTAGCACTTCATTTTAAAGTAAACCATCTGGACAGAAATATGGAGGCCACCATTGATTACCTCTTTCTGAAAATGCTTGTTGCCTATGATGTTGATCCAATGGCTTCAAAAAGGTGTAAGTAATAAGTCAGCAATGGCAGCCTTCATGTTTAAATGTTTACTTTAGGCATATTCAAAAACATGAAATTCTTTAATGAACTGTTATGTGAGTATGGAAAACAGAAATCACTAAAGCAATTGCATAAATTGTTTGCAATGGACAAAGTACATCAGAAAAAGTTTTACATATAAATCTATGAGAGGAATGGCACCACACCTCTATTATATCATGTAAAAAAGCTTGAAATTGAATGGGGCTTTTTAGGCGCAAAATGACATAGCCAAAAATGTTTACAGAAGATGTTTACATAAAAACATACTTTTATTTCATCAAGGTTTGATAAAAATCAATAATAAAACCATACCCCATAGGAAAAACATGATTAATATCATAAATACTTCCAATAGATTGTATATACTGTATAGGACGCCAGGAATTCATCCTGAACGGACGGTATATTTCCCTGCTTTTTAGGTTGTGGTCCCTTTAAGGGGATGGGGAAAAAAATTGTCAGATGTTCTCACCAATGCCGCGTGAGGGGTTCTGAGGTGATTTTAGAAGGGAAACTACTATGTAGTCTTCTCGGAATTGATAGTCCTGAAAGGGGGCCGGAAATCTAGTGGCTCAGAGAGATATTGGGTGGGAAAGAGCTTCCAACTCTGACGGCCTAGTAAGGGTTAACCCACTTGCTGGGAGTGTTCAAAGTGCACAGGAAGCCAGCCAGCAGTGTCTGTGAGGTGTGTTTGGAGCAGGACATGGCTGAGTGTGGAGCTGTGGACTGGCTGCTACTGAGACATTGGGGTTGATTTACTAACCTTATAAACATGCCACGAACAAGTATACACCTCTGTAGTGTGTTCCCTCCCAGCATGATCTATTGGTGGAATCTAGACATCTTTGTAGTGTGTACACACCTAGCAGGTGTGTTGTGCAAAGCCCTGCATGAATTGCAAGGTGATGTTGTGTAAATTAGCTCTATGCTGTGTTGCTTGCGTTGATGAATGCAGGAATGTAAATGCATGAGCTAACCATTTTTGTCTAAACTGTGAAGCAGCATTATATATGCATCATGTGCATGATTTTTCCATATATGGCATTAGTGGTAATATGCTTTTAGAGACTTTTTGGTTGAGAAATACGTTTTGCTGTGTAAAAATCACACACACCTCGTGCGTGCGTGTGTTTAGGTTAGTAAATCACCCCCATTGCTGTGCACCAGTGTCTGTGTTTGACCATCTAAAGAGCAGGCTGGGGCGCTAACCCTGAGAAGGGACTATGTATACAGGTGGTGAGCTGAACTTTCCGTTATATTGAAGAAAAGTTTTGTTCATGTATTTTTGTTTGCTGAAGACAAGCTGTTTCTGTTGGAGCATTGGGAGCAAAATAAATACTTTTATTTTTACCAACACTGCTGGCTATTGATCGGAACTGCTCTAAATATTACAATACACTATATTGCCAAAAGTATTGGGACACCCCTCTAAATCATTGGATTCAAGTGTTCCATTCACCTACATGGCCACAGGTGTATAAAATCAAGCACCTAGGCATCCAGACTGCTTCTACAAACATTTGTGAAAGAATGAGTCCCCCTCAGGAGCTCAGTGAATTCAAGCGTGGTACCCTGATAGGTTGCCACCTGTGCAAAAAGTCCATCCATGAAATTTCCTTGCTACTAAACCTTCCACGTCAACTGTTAGTAAAATTACAGAACGTGGTCAGCGTATGTTGAAGCACATAGTGGGCAGAATTTGCCAACTGTCTGCAGAGTCAATAGCTACAGACCTCCAAACTTTGTGTGGCCTTCAGATTAGCACAACAACAGTGTGTAGAGAGCTTTATGGATTGGGTTTCCATGGCCAAGCAGCTACATCCAAGCCTTACATCACCAAGTGCAATGCAAAGCGTCGGATGCAGTGGTGTAAAGCAAACCGCCACTGGACTCCACCGCCACTGAAGTGGAGACGTGTTCTCTGGAGTGGCAATCCAATGGACGTGCCTGGGTTTGGCAGATGCCAGGAGAACGGTACTTGCCTGACTGCATTCTGCCAAGTGCAAAGTTTGGTGGAGGGGGGATTATGGTGTGTTTTTCAAATGTTGGGCTTGGCCCCTTAGTTCCAGTGAAGGGAACTCTTAAGGCAACATCATACAAAGACATTTTGGACAATTTCATGCTCCCAACTTTGTTGGGGATGGCCCCTTTCTGTTTCATCATGACTGCGCACCAGTGCACAAAGCAAGGTCCATAACGACATGGATGAGCGAGTTTGGGGTGGAGAAAATTGACTGGCCTGCACAGAGTCCTGACCACAACCCAATAGAATACCTTTGGGATGAATTAGAGCGGAGACTGCGAGCTAGGCCTTCACGTCCAACATCAGTACCTGACCTAAAAATTGCGCTTCTGGAAGAATGGTCAAACATTCCCATAGACACACTCCTAAACCTTTTGGACAGCCTTCCCAGAAGAGTTGAAGCTGTTATAGTGGCAAAGGGTGGGCCAACTCAATATTGAACCCTACGGACTAAGACTGGGATGCCATTAAAGTTCATGTGCATGTAAAGGCAGGCGTCCCAATACTTTTGGCAATATAGTATATATAAAATATTCAAATACCACTCTAAAGAAAGAAAGGATCTATATGGAATAACCAATTATGGATAATTGTCCCACATGACTTCGACATCAATTGCAGCCTCTTAATTGTTGGAGTGGTTCACAATTCGACGCATTTCATGCCTCAAGCGCTTCGTCAGGAAAGTGAATTTCTAATCTATGAAATGAATTTTAAAAAATGCTGGCTTGAAGATCTAGTGCATCTGGAGAGTATAAGGTCTTTGGCAGGCAGCTCATTGAAGGTAAACCTGATAAATAAGTGCCTTCTTTTTAACGATGTTTGTAAACACCTTTAAGTCTAACTTTTTTCTTTACAGGTACATTTTGAAACTACTAACATTAGATACATTTTAAAGGTGAAGGGGGCCCTGACAGTCTAAGTAGACTTTTAATTTTGCTGCATGGTGTGCTTTAGGTAATATTAAATCTTTTGAGCCATGGATAGTTCAGTAAAAAAAGAGGCAAGTAGGCTTACTCAATACAGCTAAAATCAAAACTAAACCAATCCTAAATCACCCAACTATAAAAGATAACTGGTTGCCACAAGTTAATCACTTTACACTTTGCACTGTTTTGTCAAATAACTTACACTAAAGGAGATAAATCTTAAACATGCATTCAAGTATCTTACTATTAACAAAGCTGTGTATCACTCAACTGTAGATCCTCAATCATCTCTGAATAGGTGCTGACAATGCCCTTCCTTCTGGAGGGTGGCTACTTTTGTTCCCCATGGTCCCTGCGAGTGTTGTGATACACAAATAAGATACATTTTGTATAATAGTTAAGTGACTTAAATGCATTTTTAAGATTTAACTCCTGAGTTTAGTGTCACTTTAAACATCTCCAGAATAAAATTGTTAAATTGATATCTATGGTTTATACTAATCAGTAAATGTGATGGATACATCACTGAAATTTTCCCAGTATATATTGTGTCAGTGAAAGCACTGCCTGCTACACTGTTCCCAATATGTGGTTAATAGAGCAAGTTAAGCCATGTACTGGTTAAAATACTATGTCAGATCTCCAGGGCTTATATATACATTTTACAGTCAAGATGGAACCTGTTTTAAGACACTTTTGCCTGCAGGGTAGGTGACAGAGGAGATAAAAGTATGACTCCAGGAATATAGTTCTTCTTCCGTTTTATAATTGTGACTATATTAACTGGGTAAATCTCAAGTTTCACAAACTGAAATATTTCAGTTAATATTATTTTTGACATTAATATTAATTTCTATCAGGTTATACTAAACCAGTACTTGGTATAATAAACAAATATGTTCATTATCCTGAAGTATTTTTTAATATGTTATATGTTCTCCTTTTAATTACGTACATTTTAATCTTTTTTCCCATGTCTTCTGTTGTAATTTTGCGAATGTCAAAGCTAAACGTAAATTTCTTGCCTTTTAAAACTGCTGATTGCTGATGTGTACAACAGCATGTAATCCTAATTAAATAAATGAAACTCATGCCGCATACTAGTATTGGAAACATAAGAGACAGGGTGTGATGAATTAAAGCAAAACTAACCAGTGACTTGGAGCCTCCAGAATCCCGTTTAAAAAGTTAAACTTTTGAAGTTAAAAGTTAAACAATAAGTCAACCTAATTGTGTTTATAGTTACAATATTCATCCTAAATAAACATTTTACTTAGTCAAAGAATAAAAACAATGCTTGGCTGGTTTTAACACCTGAGGGCAAGACTAACCTTTTAACCCAGTGGTCAGGTCAAACCTTGCATCTACTTGTACTAAAATGTCTTAGAATTAGTATTTAAATGTACAGTTCTCCATACAGTTTAGATTACCCAATAAGCATAACGCAATTATATGAAAAGAAAATATTTTTAATGGTCATATACTTTATTCAGGAAAGATACTATATTCAATCCAAGCATTCCTTTAACCTGCTCCCTTCTCTATGATTATTGTTGCTTTTTTTATTCATTCTGATATCATTAAATAATAAAATAAAATAAATAAAATAATAGTTTAAATATAAATATTATTTGAAAAAAAATAAAGTATAAATTCTTCTAATTCATCTTGACCAGGTCATGCAGCCTGTTCCAAGAAGCAAGGCAAGAGGCCTAGTTTAGATAGACCTATATTAACACCTATATTTGACCAGGTTTTTAAAAGCTGTCTTGGAAATGCACAGGGAAACTGTGAGGATGGATCTTGTTATCCAACTATAGGAGATCTTCTTGTGGGACGTAATAAGCTGCTCTCGGCTTCATCAACATGTGGACAGGATGAACCTCAAAGATATTGCATCATCAGCTATTTAGAGGTAAACAATGGTAACCTTTTTTCATATTAGGGGTTTTTGTTTAATAGGAATAAAAAATACCTGGCAAATTACAAATTCTAGCTTTTTTTTATTGTTTTGTTTTTTTTGTTTTCCTTTTTACTCATGTTTACATTTTCATTTCCAGTTAGTGATTATTAGTGTAGCCCTGTTGTAAAAGACTCCTAAGTATTTTTTTCTTCAGGCTACTAAAACACATTTGCACCTGTTTAGCAACCTGAGGCGGGGGAGTGGAGAAATGGGTGCAAAATGGTCAAGGTGGCAACCTGAACAGATGCATGGACATGGAGCTATTTTGCTAATTCACCCTGTACGCTTTTCTACAGCTACCTGTGGTCACTCACCACCTTATTTCATGCCTGTCCAGAAAGGCCCTGGATGGATAGGGAAAGGGATGGGAAAAGTGGCTAGGTGCAAGCCTCTCAAACACAACCTGCTGATGCTGTGGAGGTATCCCCTCTGGGTTGCTTGGATGTCCTCACTACTAAAATAGAATGGGGGGACTTTATCAAAACTGGAGCAAACAAAATCTGGAGAGGCTGTGCATGGCAACCAATCAGCTTAAATCTTTCATTTTCAAATCCTAACTGAACAAACTAAAGAGAGAAGCTGATTAGTTACTATGGGCAACTGCTCCAGATTCTGCGAGAGACAGCATTCATCAATAAATGCACACTTATTTGCAGTAATTGTACTGGCTCCCAAGTCAGTTTGAGAACTGGACCATTGTGCATTGTATTGACCCATATCTTTGCTATAAGAGTATAAGAGTCATTGCTTCCGCTGATGCCAAAAAGGAGTATCTACAGGTGGTACTGTACAAATTTGGATTTGGTCCACGATTTAGTAAGTGGTTACAGATGTTATACTCTGAAAGTACACATTATTAACGATTTATCTGACCTCTTCACATTCCAGTGAGAAATATGGCAGGGCTGTGTACTCTCCCTTAGCCTATTGCCCAGGCACTGGAACCCATAGCAGTGATTCTTTATTTCTCTTCACTGATGCAGGATCTTCAGATAGGAGGGTTGAAGCGGAGGCTGTTTTAGTATGCATACGGTGCACTTATTTACCTACATGATGCAGGCTTTTCCCTTCGTACCACCTTGGAAATGTTTTACACTTTTGATCCTTTTCTGCATGGTGAATAATTAAAACAAGTCTCTATTAATTACCTTGGATCTTAGAGCTAGAGAGTTCACAATCCCTACCCCCCTCCAATGCGTCAACTGCTTTAAATACAGTATTTGGGTGTCAGAGTGGATGGGAATGTACATAACTTCATTGCTATACATCTTATCCCCATTCTGTAACACTAAAGTTAAGGTGCACCTCCTGGTTGTCTATTCCACTAAATTTGGTGGTGTGCATGAAGCGCATTAATCTCAAAATGATATCCCTCTCCAGTTCTACATACTGTATATTATCATTATTATTATACAGGATTTATATAGCGCCAACAGTTTGTGCAGTGCTTTACAATATAATGAAGACATTACAATCACAATACAATTCAAGACAAGATGGTAAGGAGGGCCCTGCCCGTGAGGGTTTACAATCTAAAAGGGAGGGGGAAGTGATACATGAGGAGGTAGCTGTGTTGGGATGAATTGTTTGAGAACGTGATGGTTGAGCGGTTAGGTTGAGGTGGGATAGGCTTCCCTGAAGAGATGAGTCTTTAGGGAACACCATAAGGCAGTCAAGATGGGAGACAGATGGACAGGTTGGGGTAAAGAGTTCCAGAGGATGGGAGAGACTCTACAGAAGTCCTGGAGGTGAACATGGGAGGAGTTGACAAGGGGGCTGGAAAGCATGGATTCTTGGGATGAGCGGAGTGGACGGTTAGGGTGATACTTTGGGACAAAGTTTGAGATATAGCCGGGGCAGAGTTGTGGATGGCTTTATAAGCGATTGTTAATATTTTGAATGTTATCCTTTGGGCGAGTGGAAGCCAGTGTAGGGATTGACAGAGGGGGGTTGCAGGCACTGAACGATTGGTTAGGTGAATGAGTCTAGCAGCTGCATTCATGATAGATTGAAGGGGGGATAGCCTGTGTAGTGGAAGGCCAATGAGGAGGGAGTTGCAATAATCAAGGCGAGATATAGCAAGTGAGTGGATGAGTAATTTTGCAGTTTCATTGGTGAGGAATGGGCATGTTTTGGAGATGTTGCAAAGGTGAATGCGGCAGAATTTGGATAGAGATTGGATGTAAGGAAGAAAGGTGAGGTCCGAGTCAAGGATGACACCTAGGACATTGGCATGGGAGGAGGGTTGGATAGTTGTGTTAACAATCTCAAAGGAAAAGTTTGGGGAAGGTGCACAGGCAGGAGGAAATATCGAGAGCTCAGTTTTTGAAAGCTTGAGTTTATACATGTAGATCTTTACACAGTGCCCTATCTGAAGTGCTATAAATACATTTACAGAAATAATGATTGTATCTCCTCCTTTATTTGGGCTGGAAACAACAAGAATGGTGCTGTCTACCCTACAGTTAACTATACTAAAAGGTAAACTGACATTCCCAGATTTCAAACTTTATTACTGGGCTTCAGTCTTTGCAACAGTGAGATGGTGGTTTGCTCAACCTAGGCCACAACATGGCTGTTCAGCTGGAAGCATCTGTTTTGGGCTCCCTCTCAGAGCTAAGTAATCTTTTTTACAGGCTCATGGGCATACACTACTAAACCAATTCCTATTAAAACTACCCTTTGTGTTTTGACCTCAGCAAGACAAAGATTCCCTCAACCTAACCACTGGTCCCCCTTCTATTCATTGTGGGGCAACCCTAAATTACCCCATTTCTGTACGATACCTGAACCTCATTTATGGGTAAATTTCAATGCTGCAGCATCTTGTGCCAAATGGCAACCTACGATTCTTCAAGATCTAAACTACAATACAATTTTCCCAACTGGATGCTATTTTGGTATTTTAAGATACACCATGCAGCCCAATCCCAATTCCCTCAAAAGATTACTCTAATGTCAAACCTAATAAACAAATGCTACCAAGACCTTGAAAAGCCACTTTCTGCCTTATATAATTGCTTGCTTTGTTTGCCCAAACTTCCATGTGTTCTGCATCAGTGACAGTTAGACATCTCTACTCTTGACCAAAAGATTCTCCAAGCTTATGATCTCCTCTAGGGACAAATTGATCCAGACTTGGTTTCTGCATATGGGAAGGAGGGACACATTAAGTAACCCATACCATCAGAATTAACATGCAGAAAATGATTGGTTTAGCCCAAAAGTACTTTCCTTTATCAGTACCTTTCCTTTATTTTGGCTTTTTAATAATACAAAATTGAATATCTTAAAGGTTAGATAAAAGGTTTAGCGCAGTAATACCATGGAAGACCAAAAAGAGGGGCAACTAAGTAAGAGGGACAGAGGGGTAAAAAAGGAGAGTAGTCCACAACCATGAAACACACCTCCATGGACAGAGACAGCCTTATTAAAATGCCATCATGTTTAGAAAAAGTGATTGGTTTTTAAAGCCAGCTCAGCAATAAAGACTAAATTTGGCAAGATGCCTTATTCCTAAAACAAACTGAGAAAGCTTTAATACAAGCCTTAACATCACTTCACAAAAATGGAAGTGATGCTCTTTGAAGCCCTTTGAAGTCCAGTAGTTTTGCAGTTATACAGCTGTTTTAACACTTATACAGACAAACTTAGCCCAAGACAGATTGATAGATAAAATAGGTGGCTGGCCATCAGTAGCAGGCAATAGGTAGGCAAGTTGTCCCAGCAGAGGTTTTCCAAACTTTCATGAAAAAGCTTCACGGTGAATATTTGGAATTCAATCAGTCATACTTGGTGCATAGACAAACAATACACAGAAGTTTTTTAAAAGCATATTGTTGCACTCTACTAACAAAACCCACAGGGGCACCTTTTGTGATTTTTGGTTAAGCTACATTTCCATGTACATGCTATACGAGGTGGGATAAAAAAAATACGGTAAATGAAACAAAACAAATCATTGCAGTAAAAGACACTCCAGCTGGAAGCACTTTTGTAGGTCCGTATGCCATACGTCCTTGGCAGCGAAAGGGTTAATCCCCCTCAAAATACATCCCTCACTTCAAACACACTTATCCCATCGTTCTTGCCACTTTCTGAAGCATTTCTGGAAGTCCTCTTTTGTGGGTTTCTTTAGTTGTGCTGTGGTGGCTGCCTCAATGTCCTGAATTGATTCAAAATTTACCTTTCATTATGATTCTGAAGAACATTTTGGGGAAGAGCCACAAGTCACGCAGTGCCAGATTCAGTGAATAAGGGGGATGAGGACACACCGTAATGTTTTTATTTGACAGAAATTGCCATACCAGAAGTGTGACACAGAGCGTTGTCATGATGGAGGATGAAACCATTTGCCCATTTCTCAGTCTGTTTTCTAAGCACATCATTTTTGATCAAATCATTTCATTTCACTTACTCTTTCAACATTCTCTTGCGTTTTTGATGTTGAAGGACATCCTCTCATCTTCAACCGATTCAAAACCATTACAAAATCACTTGAACCACTTGTGAACCATCTCCATGGTTACTGCAGCATCACCATAAACTCATTTTAACATTTTGTGTGGGGTTTTTTAGCACTTTTTTGTAGTTTGAAAAAAATTTCATGTTAACCCTTTGTTCGTGATCCAAGCTTTATGGTACCCTTTAAAACACACCTTTTTTCAATCGTAGCCCACAACCGATTGACTGCACCAAACAAGTTGAAACTTGCCACACACTGATACTAAGGTTCAATGTTACGCTTCTCATATTAAACATCCCTGCCTTTCCATTGGACGGCACTCGCCAGCAGCATTCACTGTATTTTTTTTATCATAGCTCGTATAACTAATTTTCTAAAGCATGAGGTGCTAGGGTACAGTCTTTACATGTATGCATAGTAAGGTGAAAAGTGAGTTTTGTTGAGGTTTGCCTGTGCTGAAGTGAAGATATATTTTTGCTGTGCTTTTGCTGATGATAAGCCTTTTACGTTGTAAAAAAACAGGATTCTATTTGAAAGCTTAAAGTGTCTTATGTATTGATGGTAATGCCAAACTCCATGAGTATCAACCATTGTGTAAGTTATACCCCCCCTGCTGAAGATTTTGTATGACACTGCTGAGGTAAGATGAATGTCAAGAAACTGGTCTGTTGGCAATTATGTACTAATACTTCTGATTTTGTTTTTATTTTAGGATGATCAAAAATGTTTTATGTGTGATTCCAGATATCCATATAATCCTTATAATCAACCAAACAGTCACCAGATTGAAAATGTTATAACAACGTTTGATTCAGACTGGAAGAATAAGTGGTGGCAATCAGAAAATGGTAAATGATGACTTTAAATACAACAGTAAACTTCAGTAATTTTTTTTGTCCTAAGGCAGCCCATAACAAATTGGTTTATTTTCCATGAATTATACTCCTGTAGAACATATGTATAGAAGAAACATATTTGATTAATTGATTCCTAATTAAACAAGGTATAAAGAAGATGCTTTTAATCACACCCTGGGATTTGGACCATGACAGATTGCTAGATAAGGGTCTCTAATCTGACAGCATACAGTAGTCCTGAGTGTAGTGCTTCTATATTGTGGACTAGTGTTGCATTTTTATACCTCTTTTTTCTTTTAGACTAAAATATTAGACTATAAAAATTAGCCACTAGCAAACTATTTCCTTTAAATAATCCCTGCTATTTTTGGCAACTGAAAACAAGAAAGGAGTGTCTCAGGGTTACTTTCCAAACTGTGCAAAACAATTCAAGAGCAAAATAATGTAAAAGGGGAAATTAATGCCTTCTCAGCTGAGTTACATTTTGCTTATTTTTTCCTAGGCATTGATTATGTCAGCATTAGACTGGACTTAGAAACATTGTTCCAGTTTAGCCATCTTGTAATGACCTTCAAGGTATTGTATACTTAAATGTAGCTTAATAATACTAATGGTATAACAATTCTTAATTTAAAGCAGTTACTATCTTGATTGTTTTATATTTTAAATATAATTTGTACTTTGAAAAACTAAAATATTGTTATGTATAATTATGTCAATGAGATAAAAAAAAAATCTGCACTCAAAACACAGAAGCAAAATCCCAGAAACCTCTATTCATTTACAAGTATAAAGCAGTTCAACAACAACCAGAAACCTTGCATATAGTTCATATAGAAAAAATGCAGCCAGGACCACGTTTATGATGCAAGCATAAAATGCCATATCTGTAATTGAATCTTCTTTATCAAATCAATTAGGAAATAGTGGCTTCCATCCACTGTCAGCTATAGAGCTGAGGATGTGCCACATTGTGTACATTTGCTAGGCCACCAAGTACCCTGGTTCAGTTTAATGGCTGCCCATGGTGAGGTAATGTACCAGGGGTGAGCTGCCTTTCAGGACTTGCTCACACCATCTCCAGACCAGATCTGGATGCATTTCTGTATAAGTGTTTATGTGCATTTGTTATGTGTTTTTGATGCGTTCCGGTGCATTTTATTAAAAAAAATGTTTATTGTGTTTGAGCGCATTTCAGGGACATTAAACACGAGTGTTTACATTCGTTTGCATGTATTTTATGCATTCCAGTGTTAAAAAATGCATGCTGCTGTACTGTTTTGAAAAGCTCTGGAACTGAACGGAATGGTGTAAATTTGCTTCATTTAAAACCATTGGAATCACTGTGTATCCATTTTTGGTGCAGATTAAAAAATGCACCAAAATGTAGATGTTGTGAACAGGCCCTCAGTAATTGGTGCATTAGCTTATAGGTCACATAACTGCATTTTTATTGCATTGCAATCCCCCATTGTGCTGAGGTAAAACAAAACTGGTTAATGAATCCAATTAAAAAATTAGTTTAGGATATAAAATAAAGATATGCGTACAGGTGCACAGAACTGTCATGGACCCTTTGTCATTTATATCATTGTTTTTATGGCAGCTTACATTCACCGGTCGAGTTTATATTGAGGACTTTAATAAAGATAATATAATAAGGATTTTATTTTTGTATGTCCTAACTGCATAATTTCTTTAACTTTATGAATAGAGCACCTTAATTAAAAAAGAAACGCAGAGTGTGAAACCTGTTAAAATGTTTACTGTCATATACCTGTATGAGGAGCCCAAAATAACAGGGGTGGCCTCTTGCACTATTCCCATATGAGCGATGGAAGGGCAAAAGTGTCCAGGTGCAGGAATTTGAGAGCTGCTATCAGATGTGCAGGAGTACAGTGGGTAATACACAGAGGATGAATCAGGTGGAGTACAGGTGGAGTTACAGTAAGTAACAGTAACAGATGAGCAGTGAAGCACCAAATTGTAAGCAGCATCAAGGTTCCTCCTTCACTTATTTTTAAAATGTAAAACTGTACAGTAGATAAGGGTCAAGCCAAGACAGGGGCAGAAAAAGCATAACGGGATGCTTTTTCTGCCTCTGTCTGAATAGAGGTTTCTGGGATTTTGACCCTTATCTACTGTACAGTTTTCTATTTTAAAAAGGTGGGTGCTGTGCTGCTGGGGGCACAGCTGGAGCGGAAGCCTCCCCTGCATCTGCATCCCTTGGCCATCTCCTGCACTGTGCAGGACTGAGCTGTTCAACTGATCATGCCTCACCCTGTGCAACCAGAGGTATACTGTTGTTGGCATGACAGCTGCCTGCTCTGTTTTAGGAGCTCTATGTGTCTGCAAGACTGAACTGTTTTTTTAACTGTTTGCATATACAGGTTTCAAATGTGTGTTCGTTTTTGTAATGTCAAATCAAAGAGCTTGGGGAGGGGGGGCTGCACTTTGGCATCCTCACCTTGGGTGCCAGAGGACCTTGTCCTGGCACTGCATTAGATATACAGTATCAATTAACTATGGTAAATATATATGATTTCAGACCAAAATCTAGCTATATAATATTGTGTTTACTCTTGAATGTAATAATTTGTCATTGCATAGAAAAAGGCTTGTCTCTCATTCTTTCAAACTAGTAATGATTGTTTTAGTATTTCCCCTTTATATACACATTAGCCTTCAAGGCACTTCCAATCTGATATCTTTAGCACACTTTTATACAGTATATACAAACTTTAAAGCCAGTTTGGTGCTGTGCAAATTGTACGTTTTTAAGAAGATGTTAGAGCAAACACCAGAAAGAATAGAACTGCTTTTATATGCTCAACACAGTTATACAAACTACAGACCCATTTTGGTGGGGTGCGAATTAACCTACCAGTATGTTTTTGAGATTTAACTAGAGCAAATACCAGTAGGATTAGAACGCAGGTTCCAGAGTTTGCAAGCCAATAATGCTAGATATATAGCCACAATGCTGCACATTTGTGTGTGTTATAATATTGTATAAGATTGTTATAATGTTATTATTGTATATTTTACAGTCATTTCGACCTGCAGCCATGCTGGTTGAGCGATCTCGTGACTTTGGAAGAACATGGAAAGTATTTAAATACTTTGCTCAGAACTGTGCATCAGCTTTTCCTGGCATCCCAGAAGGGCATGCTGATGATGTCGGGGATGTGGTTTGTGACTCTAGGTATTCAGACATTGAGCCATCCACAGAAGGGGAGGTAATGTCTTTTACTTTGCCTTCAGAACCATGGCACTTAGTCAGTGACATTAAAACATGCATCTGTGATTAAGAACTAAATGTTTACTTGCAGCATTTGCACTGATATTTACTTTTCTCTAAAACGTATTTACTAATGCATACCTTACACATGAACTGTTACTTGATATATGGAAAGAGAACATAAGTACATGTTAGAATGAATAACATAATTCACATGTTAATAATGCACCGTAACAGATGAGAAGTTACAAAAACTTTTGAACACTGGTTAGTAATGGAATGCGTAGGAATTTTCCTAATAAAATCTCCTTTTTGACAGCCTTGTGATTTTACATATAAAATAAACAGTACATGTACAGTAGTTAGTTGGTTATCATCACATAGTGATAGTCTTATTGGGGTGGAAAAATACTTAATGCATGTTTCTGTAAGGGTGGGGTAGATAGCTTAAAGATTACAATGTGTCAGATTTAGCCATGAACATTTATGTTCTAAACATGTGTAATTAATTTTCCACTGAGCCTGCACGGGCGTGCTCCATCTGTCAAGGTATGCAGGCCATCTCATAAGCATGTCTTGGTCTATAGTCAGCGGACATGCTCATTTTGTTTGACTATTTGCATTGACTATATTGTAATTATATTTTATTTACCCAGCACTGACATCATGGGGGTGATTTACTAACCTAAACACACGCACGCACTAGGTGTGTGTGATCTTTACACAGCAAAACGTATTTATCAACCAAAAAGTCTCTAAAAGCATATTTCCACTAATGCCATATATGGAAAAATCATGCACATGATGCATATATTATGCTGCTTCACAGTTTAGACAAAAATGGTTAGCTCATGCATTTACATTCCGAAATTCATCAACGCAAGCAACACAACATAGAGCTAATTTACACAACATCACCTTGCAATTCATGCAAGGCTTTGCACAACACACCTGCTGGGTGTGTGCACACTACAAAGGTGTTTAGATTCCACCCATAGATCATGCTGGGAGGGAACACACTACAGAGGTGTATACATGTTCATGGTGTGTTTATAAGGTTAGTAAATCAACCCCCTAAAGTCCAGATATAGATAAATGTAATTTTGCTGATCTGCAGGATTCCCAAGTTACGCCAATCGAGTTACTATGGAGCAGGGGTTCTTAAACGTTTTGTTCCAAGGCCACAAATAAGAAATGTGTTTCTGTACTATTACCCAATAAGATAATTATTACCAAAATGTCTGCAATGCCATACAAAGGCAAATGACAATGGCCAATTAAAATAAATACATTTTAAAAAACACGGTAAATGTATTTGTTTCCATGCAAATAAAAAACTGTTCTTTGTATTTTGTAAAGCAGTATAGTGAACAGCCACCATACTGTTACCAAAATAAAAATTATAATTCAAAACAAAAAATAGATTCCTGAGTATAATCGCAACAGTATTATGAAAGACCTGAAGCATCTGGGCATTTCAAGGAGAACAATGATGCAATGCTTGCAGTGCATCTTCTCAAATATCTGGTATGGCCACATTTCCCTGACTATAGATGGAGCTTAAAGGAGCAAACTTAACTAAACCCCTACAATTTTACATTTCTAACCTCTGCATTGGATTTAGTTACTCTTCACAAAGCAGAGGACTCCTCCAAGACCAAGGGGTCACCCAAAGTGAGAAACTGAACCAAAATGAGCATCCAACGATCACCTCAAAAGTGCAAAAAGTCCTTCATTAATATCACAACTATAGAAGGAACACAAAATGCAGTTTTTTCGATATCCAAAAATCCCTCTACATCAGGGTTAGAAAGGATACATGAAACAAGAATAGTAAAAACATAAATAACAATTAAATACACAATAAAATTACATTTGTAAACAATACATAGAGCACATCGAAAATAATGAAAGAAATACAAAAACCAGAATAATCTTTTGTATCGAAAACAGGATCAAATTTGGATAAACTTTGGAAATTAAACCTAATATACAATTATGGAAAAAAAATGGGTCCAGATAGGATCAGTATTACCCCTTTGGTGAAAAAATGGGGGATAACCTTGTGGGCTAAATAACAAATTTCAATACAAAAGCAATATGCCATGAATTGAAATAGCATTGTCTAATACAAAAAACATTCAAGCTAGAAAAAGATGGGGGGTTAATAAGTAAATCAGCAATCAGAAAGGATACAAGTAATAAATGTCAAAGCAACATAAGTCTTCATTATGCCACAATGTGAAGAAAGATTGGAAAATTGGCCTATATAGAACCTTGAGATATATAGAATGTATAGTATCTGTCCCAGTGTATAAATACAAAGTTGTATATAAAGAGATAAGAGGTTATTCAGATTGATCAATTACTAAAGGGAAACAATGAGGAGTTAATAGAAACAGCGGAAAACATCTAGTCAACGGGAGGTTAAATGATGCATAATATACTGACTTTTGTCACCATGTTTTCCAGGGAATGTAGTAAAATAGTAGATACTGTGAAAAAAAATCTCCCAGCCTTATGTGCCCATAGTCAAATACATGGGGTGTTAGAGGGTGCTAGCAGATTAGCTAGTAGAAGGGCAACAACTCTGGGCCCCATGGAGTCTCCCTCCTTTTTATAGATAGTTAACCTTGGTTTCTGCACAGAGTTCCTTCCAATTCGATTTCAGGAACTGCACATACTGTGATGTACGGTACAAGCCTAAACTAAAGTGGTATGATTGATGGTGTCTGATTAAACTTTCCCATTTTATCAGTTTATTAATTGTGGTACTGGGAATGTGGTTTATATTATTTTCAACAATTGTTTCTACCATTGCTTACATGCTTATATGCTATGCTCTGTCCAGTTCTATACGTGTACTATAAAGGGAATCAGATATCTTTTGTAAACAATTTAGAATAAAATTATATTTGGATAAAATATTCTGTTTTAATATTATTCCTTTCAAATTTGTTTTACAGGTGGTTTTAAAAGCACTTGATCCTAGTTTCGAGATTATTGATCCTTATGATCCCTATATACAAGGTAAACATGCACTTTAAATGAAAAAGCATGTATAAAATGTCAAACCAACATCTTTATTTTGGAATTGTCATTCAAAAGGACGAGCAAGAACTATTAACATCTATAGATAGATTTACATGTATTCTTTTTATTAGGTCTAACATTTAGAGGGTTATTCACAAAGCTAGCCAAAGGATCAGCCGTAGCTCCGGCTGATCCTTCGGCTAGCTTAGGTTGCTGGAGCCCTTCGGCAGGCCATATATATATATATATATATATATATAAATAGCTCTGACATATATATATTCCGCAGCGCTGTACAGAGAACACTGAGCCAGTCACATCACTCAAGCTTGGAGCGGTGGAAGCAAAAAAAAAAGTGTGGTGTGCAATACAGTGAAATGTAAAATGTAAAATTATGCAGCAATCAATGCAGAATGGCATCGGTTATAGAGGAATACAGCAAATCCCAGCAATACAATATACATACAGTGTACAATGTATTGCTGGGATTTGTGGTCCTCTATAGCTGATGGTACATATACAGCATGTGGGGGTGGGGTGCAGGTAGTCTTACCTGCACACTCTTCAAGCAACTTTACTTTCTTCCGAGATCTTGGGACTGTCGGCAGCTGCTGTTCCCCCACGCCGTAGTCTCCCTGCAACGACGTGATCATCTTATCAGTCAGCATCTTAGCAGGCAGCGACGGGAGAGAGCTCAGAGCTGGGAGAGGCGGAAAAGAGGTTCGGCACGTGTGGAGCCACGAACAGGTGCAACTAATCGAAAGCCGACTAATCGATGATGGAAAATGTTTACACCATTTTCCATCATTGATTTTAATCGACTTAGTTGATTAGTTGTTGCAGCCCCCTGTCACATCAGTCTCTGTACATAGGAGCTTACACTCTAATGTCCCCTCCCCCACAGTCACATCAGTCTCTGTACAGAGGAGCTGACACTCTAATGTCCCCTCCCCCCACAATCACATCAGTCTCTGTACAGAGGAGCTTACACTCTAATGAAGTGACGCGGTGGACACTAGACGTGCACTGTCAAAAAATTTGTTTAGTTTCATTTTGTTTTGATTCAGATTTTTGCGTTATTTTGTTTTTCGGGATTCAGACGAAATTCGTTAGCGGTAGTCTGTACGAATATTCATTTCCGTTTCATGTTCATATCGTTCGTTTCATTTCATTTTTTAAAATGACACTTTGCTGCAATGAGAATTCGTCCACAAACGAAAATGCGTACAGACAACCGCTAACGAATTTCGTCCGGAAAACTAATTTTTCTGAATTAAATCACACATGTCTACTGGACGCAGGACTTAGGGTTAGTTCACACCATAAGCAGTGGTGTGACTCACCTTTGTTCCCGGCTGAAGGGGGCATGGAGGGCCATTGAAGTGAATGGCACTGTAGCCATGCCCTCCGGCCGCAATGCGATCGCCCGCACGGGATTGCAAGGCACAGTGTGACTGCAGTGCGTTTGAGTGCGGTGCGGCCGGAGGGCATGGCTATGGTGCCATTCACTTCAATGGCAGGGCTTAGTGACGACGCGCTGGACACAGGCTTAGTGACAATGCGCTGTACGCAGGGCTTAGTGACAATGCTGGACGCAGGGCTTAGTGACGATGCACTGGCCGCAGAGCTTAGTGATGACGCGCTGGACGCAGGACCCACCTGACAGTGACCCTGCAGAGCCCACCATAGATGCTGCACAGCCCATCTGAAGGGGTCTCAGGCGGAAGTGACATCACAGCACTAACGTCACGTCTCCCGGTCAGTCAGCATTCAGACGAGCAGCGCTGCTAGGGCCAGGCCTCCGCCGCTGCTGCTGCGGGGGACCGGCTGCCTCCTCGCCCATCACTGTCAGCCGATACTCATGTAGGGGTCCCAGGCAGGCCCCATAGGCTGTCCGGGCCCCTTATATGAGTATCGGCCGTACCCCCCTGATGGCGGCCCTGCCCTTCGGTTCTGTAGAATCGAAGGGCTTCTGTACAGGCTATTCACTATAGCCCATACAGCTCCCGAAGTTGGCCAATCGGCTCAGTCGAACCGAAGGCATATGCTTTGGCACAACTGAGCCGAGGTGAAACCCGAAGCGGGCCGAGCGGCCAAAAGCCTTGTGACTGATAGCTGGGTGGAGCCAGCAGGTTACCTGGGGACACTGAACTGTCATTACATAGATCTGTCATTGCAACTGACTGGAGCCAGCCGTGAGATCACGGCCGGCTCCGCAAAGTTGTTATTCATTGGCCGGGACCTGCTAGAAGACTCTAGCAGGTCCCGGCCAATAGGAAACAGTTAGGCGGAGCTAGCTGTCATTGCTAGTTCCGCCCAATTGTTTCTTTTTTAATTTGATCTTTATGTTTGTTTTTTGTTTTTTTTAATGATCTTTATTTTTCTTTTTTCAATAATCTTTTTTTTTAAATCTTTATTTATTTTTTAGGATTGACCATTTATTTACATTTGGAAACCGTTTTTTCTATGCTTTTTTTTACTTTTCTTATTGTTTTACTATTCTTCTCGGTCCCACGGAGGTACCAAGCAGTATAGCGGCGGCATTCAGCTATTCACTCGCTGCTGTTCAGCCCCAAGAGTATAGGCCACATGGCAGCGAGAAGCCTGCCAAAGGTTCAGCTCAGTCGATCCAGATGTTGGATCGGCTGAGTTGAACTCCTTCTGCACTTTGGCTCAGCCGAACATGCTGAGCATGTTCCACCAAACCGAAGCCAGCCAAAGCAAGCTGATGTACAGCTGATTTTAGCCGATGTACAGCTGATTTCAGCCGTACAACGGCTAAAATCAGCTGCCTGAAGCCTGAAGTGAATATGAATTACTGTTTTTATAGTAACCACCTCAGGGCTAGAGCATTTTTTTAAATTATTCACACACATGCTAAAATCTGAATTTTGAGATAAAAAATTACTTTAAACCCCAGAACAAATATGTATTGTCTGAAAGCAGACACCGTGTAGAATAAAAAGGTAGCTGCACTTTTTATGTTGCATAATATTTGCTTATGAAATCGATCGTTTTAGGGACAATATACTAAAATACATTTTAGTGCACACAAACAAAATATAATACCCACATTTTTGGGGGGAAAATATAAAAGATGTGGGTGTTTGCACACCCGTGCAATGGTGAAAAACTATGGTATTCAAAATTGCCCATAGGTGACACTTTAAAAGCCTTTACTGCTCAGTTTAGCATTAACAGCAAAATATGTCCTGAAATTATTGCTCTCACTCTGATGTTTGTGATGATATCTAACATGTGAGGTGTATTCGCTGTTTATGTACATGTGCATGCCCTGGGTGCATGTGTGCATTCACATGCAGATGAAGGTGGGCAGTCGGGTTGCTTTTACTTTTTTTTGTTTTGATTTATTTTATTATTATTTAAATTTTTAACCCTTTTTTAATTTTATTTCAACTTTAACTTTATTGCTATCACAAGGGGGCTATATGATAGCATTGTCAGGAAGACATATGCACATCGTCGTCCTGAAGTGGTACCTAAGTATGGTGGTTCTGAAGTGGTTAAAATAAATATAGTGTTTTTTTAATCTAACAATTCTTCACAGTTTGTTTAGGGACTTTTTGGAAGATGCCTGTAACATGTCAGAAATATCAATAAAATATATCTAAAGACCAAACTTTTTGTTTTGGACGAAGAAGGTAGGGGTTAAAACTCTTGACAGTTTTTTTTTGTTCTGCTTTTTTTTACAATCTGTGCCATATTTGGGAATTTTCCTATTACTTGCTGTCCTCTAGATACAACAGAAAGGACATTTCTCTAAAGTAAAGATAAACTACTTTTAGACAGTTGTCACACAGTCTAGTTGGAAGATTTCTCCTTCATTTCTGTTTTTTATTACCGAAATGGAAATGACAGCCTATTCTCCATTATTATCCTTGCCTTTTAATTTTAGACCTGGTGCTCATTCCAGCCCTGGAGCCACTGGTGGCTGTCTATAGGCCGTTAAAAGTTGGAAAATTATATTAATAATTTTGAGAACATTAAAGTTGACTGCGCATGCTACAGTCTGATTTTACCATTTCTGTACAATGTCCTTGAGATATACTAACAATTCTGTAGTGTGAAGGCATATTTAGAACAATCTATTCACAACATAACATGGTAAGTGCAAATGAGATTTTACAACCACATGATAATGTTTGTGGTCAGCTTTACAGTCCTTGAAACTGTGTATAGAAGGGCAGTGTCGTCATATACATTCCTAACCAGTTTTATGTGACACCGTGTTTTTGTTTTGTTTTTTTCTCATCTAGATATAATTACTCTCACTAATCTAAGAATCAATTTTACAAAGCTTCACACTTTTGGGGACACACATAGCAATGGGTGGCAGAGTGAGCCCCATGAGAAATACTACTATGGCTTATATGAAATGATCGTGAGAGGAAACTGTTTCTGCAATGGACATGCTAGCCAATGTGTTCCTGTGGATAACATGAGAGGTGATGTGTTCAGTCAGCCTGGAATGGTAGGACATAGATACTGTGCCTCCCTTCTGTGATGTAGTTACATCATCTCTTAGCTAAATCAGAAGTAAGACACATCATGATTTCTGTATCTGCTTTGTACTCGATATCATAAACGATTGTATTACATTTACTTCAGCTTATGCCTTTAGTTATACAGTTTTTATGAAGATTTAATAAAGTCTTTTGCATAGCATAGTTAAATAAGCAATACATAATCTTTATTACCCTAAAATAATTAACTAGTCAATACTGTACAGGAGATCTACAAGACAAGAGAAATAGTCAACAATATATTAAAGTGTCACTAAACTCAGAAGTTCAATCTTAAAAATGCATTCAAGTACCTTAACTATTAACAAAAATGTATCTTATTTGTGCATCACTCAGCTGTAGATCCTCAAATCATCTCTGAATTGGTGCGCACACCATCCTTCCTTATGGAGGGTGGCTACTTTTGTTCCCCATGATCCCTGTGTGTGTGTTGTAAAGTAGTCACTACTCCAAGCTCGCTTAATAGTAAATAGTTAAGGTATTTGAATGCATTTTTAAGATTTAACTTCTAAGTTTGGTGTCACTTTAATATTAAAGATTTAAATGACACTAAGACCACCATTTGTTTTCCCATTAATTTTGGTTCCTAAATAAATAGTGCTTAAAGTTCCTAAAGTGGATCTATAAGTAAAAATACAAGGTCTGCATTATATACTAGAGACTATCACTCATCATAACCACTTTTAAAAAATAAAAAAGTATTAAATATTCTTACCTTACCCCTGTTTCCACACCAACGGTGCCTAGGCTTGGGTGATGTCATCATCTTTCCACTGAAATTTCAAGGAATGCTGAGTATGGCAAATTTGATCCTGCACTGTGCTACAGCATCTGTGAAATTTCAGATACTCAGCTTTACATAGGATCTCATTGGAAGGAGTGTGGTGTCACCCCTGCAGTACAGATTTTGTGGGTAAGGCATGCATATGTCCTAAGATTTTCTCCTTATAGTTTTATTTTTTAACTAAATTGTGTTTTTTATGGCAGAGGAGGAGCCTGATATATTAAGATGACCTTGCATTTTTACTGCAAGGTCTTTTCTACTTTAGGAGGAAATGTCTATAGGTCTTTCATTGGTCCTCATTGATCAAAATAATTTTTGCTAATGAGTCTGTTCTTTGTTAAAGACACCCTTTTACTTCTTAAAGCGTAAACCTGTCTTGAATTAAGAAATATGGTAAAAGATGACCTATTGGACCATATTTTTTTCCCATTACCCAGGGGTTCTGACTTTACAGCAGGGTATATGAGTTTTAATATGTTGACCATAGTCAAAAGCAGTTTCCAAATGGCAGTCCTGCCATAATTATAGCTTTGTGAAGATTAGAATGTAACATTTTTGGTGGCCTGAGTTACAGAGATGCAGATCCAAGTCCATATTAATTTTGAAAGCTGTATTTCTGTAGCAAACCCCAACTTTCCCATTAAGCATTACTGTCCATTTTTGTCCATATGCTACCATCAACAACAAAAAATCCGATTCTAGTAATAGATCTATTCTGGAAAAGTAAATTGCTTTACATTTCTAGTATGTCTTGGGGACTTTTGGTAAGGAGATCTCTATACCTGAATTTACAGGCCTGCATGTTGGCTGAAGAAATTATGAAAAAGTCGCACTCTGCATGTTTGATATTTATTTATTTTATAGTATACAAAAATACTATTTTTCTTCGAAAGTTCTTAGCATTCTATAGTTAAGAAAATGCCTAAAATATACAAAAGACTATGCTCAAACATGTGCTTTCATTTTGCTATTCTCTGTTTCTTTACAATGCATGAAATTGATTAATACAATAGGATATCCATGTCCCTAAAATTAAGCCTGTTAAACAGACAATACAATATGTGTTTTTCTGTTTCAAGGTTCATGGTAAATGTGTCTGTCAACATAACACAGATGGCCTCAACTGTGAAAAATGTAAAGAATTTTATAATGATGCACCATGGAGCCCAGCAGTTGGTTTTGAAGACAATGCGTGCAGAAGTAAGTGTTGAATATATGTGTTTTAAGTCTTACTCTGGGCTTTACATACTGTATCTCCACAGTATTCCTCATCAGCTATGAACATCATTTAAGTAAACATTTAGTATGTTGCATGTGGTACATAAAAAAAATGCTTTTTCTTCTATATGATATGCATGATGTCTCAAGTTCAAGTATACTAGCTGTAAGTTGACATGTCCGTTACAGATTAAGAAGGTTAGTTAAAGTGTCTATATAGACAAAATGTTTTGTTTTTTAGTATTGGATATAGTTGGATGGAATTAGAACCCCAATCAGGTTTGTATTGCTGTCTATGTTTCTACTGGGTTAATCCATTTTTACTTTTGGTGACCAACACTGAGGCTAGGTTCACACCTAGGTGATTCCTGATCGCGTGGCAATTCGCGCGGTTTTGTGCAGGATTGCTGCGCGGTCGGGAGTCGCCAAGGTGTGGACTGATCGATGTGGGTGTCATTATTTTCTAATGGCAACCCAGTTGCGTTGGGTGGATCGCACGGTATCCCACCGTGATTCTGCTGTGCAAGTGAACGCGATAAAAGCAGCGCACCGTGTGTCGCAAAAAAAGGTACTTGTACCTTTTTTTAGCAATTGCCATGCGGATGTCACCGCGGCAAACTATGTGTGCACTAGCACATTATCACGCGGCCCCCGGGACACAAGTCCCGGGTGTCGTGCAGTGTAGTGCAGGTGTGAACCTAGCCTGAGACAGAAAGTGATGTTAGATTTGTAACCAGAACAAGAAGTGAAGGTTAATTTTCTAATGGGACATTTGTTCTTGTAGAAACTATATAAGAGGGGATTTGCCTTCTTGTTAAAAAGATTAACTGTCACTTCCTGTTGCATCTCCAGAATAGGAAATAGAGGAAAAGCTCTGTAAGGAGACAGGGATAGCAAAAATAAATTTTATACCTTACCTACTCTATTCAAAACCAAGAATAAAAGATTTGGCTATACCTACACTTTAATCAATGTGCATTGGATGCCTCTTTCTATACCTGTGTGTATTTACTTGCATTTCCTTCTACAGCATACCTTAAATATTAGAGGCATCCGTGAAACACTCAAATGACTTCTGGAGTGTGTACTAAATTTCTGTGTTGCCAAATAATTTCAGTCAACATGCTGTAACACTTAGTCATCCCCCTTAGCCATACCCCTCTATTACAAAAATATTGAAATAAGGATTATGAACTTAATCATAATCCTAATTCTAGTTGAAGAATGAAGGGATGCAACTGATTCTAGCATCAATTACAACACCTGAGCAAGAAATAATAACAGGCATTTCCAAGCATATAATTGTTTTGTTTGTTGAAAACTGTAGTATTGTACAGTCGGTGGGCTCCACCCTATGACCAAGTTAAGGAGGCAGCTGTGGTAGAGCCATGACTATGGGGGTTATTCACTATTGAGCTAAGGGATTAAGCCGAAGCATTGGCTAATCCTTCAGCTCAATTCAGCCGACAGAGCCCTCTGGTTCAGCTGAACTGAAGGGCTGTTTATTCACAATAGCCTGCACAGCAGCCGAAGGCAGCCGGATGACTAAGCCAAGCTGAACGCATATGCTTTGGTTCGGCTGAGCCAAAGTCACAGCTGAAGCGGGGAGAACGGTCTGCCGTTCTCCCTGCAAATGTAAACAACTGGGCAGAACCAGCTCTTATGCCACAGCTGACTCTGCCCAGTTGTTGTCTTTCATAGTAGCCCATCATCTTCAAGTCATTTGAGGACACTGGGCTGTCACTGAATGACAACAACTGGGTGGAGCAAGTTGTGACATCATCCGTACAGGGCTGAAGTGAATATCCGAACGGCATTCGGCTCACTTCAATTTGGCACGGTTATTCATTTGGATGCCTTTGGCAGCTGAGTGAATAACCCCCTGTGTGTTTAAAGACAGATATTTGACTGCCTTTCATTTTCTGGGAGATTTTTGCTTGTCTAGGGCTAGCCTTAGAATATGAAACTTAGAGTAAGTAACAGTGGTTGCAGCTTGGACCTTACTTACCTTCATATCCCTGATTCATTTGAATTACCAGTGGTATAATTAAGCCATTGTCAATGTGCACAATGACACTTCATTGCAAGGGACTATCTGTACAAATGTAACTAGCACAGAATGATAAAATACACCTGTAATGTATATGCAGGGAAGATATGTATTCTTACAAAGAAGGTAACTATGTTGACAGAGAAGACATCAGACTGCCAGGTCTAATTATTTAAAGAGTGTGAACACTGATCTTACACCCACACTAATTTAGGGAAGATTTATTTCCAGTTACAATAATGCAATCATAAAGCACGTAGGGGTTCAAGGCAAATAGAGTATTCACTTTGCAATAGTAGTTTCCCTTAGCTTAGTGAATGTGATGAAAATTCACATTGCAAACAATGTCCATTCATGTGCCAGGAAAAAAAGTGTTTTACTTGCACATAATCAAACTACAGTAGCAGCAGCAGAGCTTTATCTCATTTGCAAAGGTAAGGGAAATTCCCTTGCAATGTAAACAACCTATTTGCCTTAAACTGCACTGCATCAAAACAACATGTAATATGGTAATACAAAAATCACTGCGCTAGGAGTGAGTATCTAAATAGCTAATTAGACCAGCCGCAACAATGTGTAAAGTGAATATAATTGTGTAGCAAATAAGTTGCGCTCGGTCTGAGTGGTGAAAATCTAAATATTATACACACACCTATATAGTGTTATATTACACCTATAATAAATATACCGTGCAACTCAGTGCGCTCTGATTATTTTCTGAATATAGAGGGTTAAATATCCAGAATGATAGTAACAGTATAGCAAGCAGTCCTTTCAATGATTAGGTAGTATGCATGAGATGAGGTTAAAGCGGTTACTTTCCTTTTTTCAATGCTGCCTGGGTGGGTAATCCATTCACTCCCTAGACAAGTGTCCAAGAAAAACGTATCCAACCAATCGGTGGCCCAGAGAGTCTGGGGAGTCCTGAGAATTCAGTGATCCTTCGCTCACTTAACTCTCCAAATCCAAAGATCAGACGTAATTTTCTACTCTCATACCGATTTTTCTGGGGACTCACCACCCGACTGGCGGCGTAAACCTGTTGATATCTCCCAGGAAAAAAATGGAGAAAGGAGTGCAGTAACTCAAAATGTTTAATTGTTAAAAATACACAAATGCACTTACAAAATTCACGAACGTTTAGAGCTTTAAAAGCATTAGCAGAATCTCAGCTGTGAGCGGCGAGGACAGATCTTCCTTTGACTAGTTTCGTTCATTAACTTTTTTGTGTAGTGTATTGTGTATTGTGTATAATATTTAGATTTTCGCCACGTTGTTTTTTTTTTGTGTGATTAGGATACTTCAACTGTTTTCTGCTTTTGTTCTTGTAGAAACTATATAAGAGGGGATTTGCCTTCTTGTTAAAAAGATTAACTGTCACTTCCTGTTGCATCTCCAGAATAGGAAATAGAGGAAAAGCTCTGTAAGGAGACAGGGATAGCAAAAATAAATTTTATACCTTACCTACTCTATTCAAAACCAAGAATAAAAGATTTGGCTATACCTACACTTTAATCAATGTGCATTGGATGCCTCTTTCTATACCTGTGTGTATTTACTTGCATTTCCTTCTACAGCATACCTTAAATATTAGAGGCATCCGTGAAACACTCAAATGACTTCTGGAGTGTGTACTAAATTTCTGTGTTGCCAAATAATTTCAGTCAACATGCTGTAACACTTAGTCATCCCCCTTAGCCATACCCCTCTATTACAAAAATATTGAAATAAGGATTATGAACTTAATCATAATCCTAATTCTAGTTGAAGAATGAAGGGATGCAACTGATTCTAGCATCAATTACAACACCTGAGCAAGAAATAATAACAGGCATTTCCAAGCATATAATTGTTTTGTTTGTTGAAAACTGTAGTATTGTACAGTCGGTGGGCTCCACCCTATGACCAAGTTAAGGAGGCAGCTGTGGTAGAGCCATGACTATGGGGGTTATTCACTATTGAGCTAAGGGATTAAGCCGAAGCATTGGCTAATCCTTCAGCTCAATTCAGCCGACAGAGCCCTCTGGTTCAGCTGAACTGAAGGGCTGTTTATTCACAATAGCCTGCACAGCAGCCGAAGGCAGCCGGATGACTAAGCCAAGCTGAACGCATATGCTTTGGTTCGGCTGAGCCAAAGTCACAGCTGAAGCGGGGAGAACGGTCTGCCGTTCTCCCTGCAAATGTAAACAACTGGGCAGAACCAGCTCTTATGCCACAGCTGACTCTGCCCAGTTGTTGTCTTTCATAGTAGCCCATCATCTTCAAGTCATTTGAGGACACTGGGCTGTCACTGAATGACAACAACTGGGTGGAGCAAGTTGTGACATCATCCGTACAGGGCTGAAGTGAATATCCGAACGGCATTCGGCTCACTTCAATTTGGCACGGTTATTCATTTGGATGCCTTTGGCAGCTGAGTGAATAACCCCCTGTGTGTTTAAAGACAGATATTTGACTGCCTTTCATTTTCTGGGAGATTTTTGCTTGTCTAGGGCTAGCCTTAGAATATGAAACTTAGAGTAAGTAACAGTGGTTGCAGCTTGGACCTTACTTACCTTCATATCCCTGATTCATTTGAATTACCAGTGGTATAATTAAGCCATTGTCAATGTGCACAATGACACTTCATTGCAAGGGACTATCTGTACAAATGTAACTAGCACAGAATGATAAAATACACCTGTAATGTATATGCAGGGAAGATATGTATTCTTACAAAGAAGGTAACTATGTTGACAGAGAAGACATCAGACTGCCAGGTCTAATTATTTAAAGAGTGTGAACACTGATCTTACACCCACACTAATTTAGGGAAGATTTATTTCCAGTTACAATAATGCAATCATAAAGCACGTAGGGGTTCAAGGCAAATAGAGTATTCACTTTGCAATAGTAGTTTCCCTTAGCTTAGTGAATGTGATGAAAATTCACATTGCAAACAATGTCCATTCATGTGCCAGGAAAAAAAGTGTTTTACTTGCACATAATCAAACTACAGTAGCAGCAGCAGAGCTTTATCTCATTTGCAAAGGTAAGGGAAATTCCCTTGCAATGTAAACAACCTATTTGCCTTAAACTGCACTGCATCAAAACAACATGTAATATGGTAATACAAAAATCACTGCGCTAGGAGTGAGTATCTAAATAGCTAATTAGACCAGCCGCAACAATGTGTAAAGTGAATATAATTGTGTAGCAAATAAGTTGCGCTCGGTCTGAGTGGTGAAAATCTAAATATTATACACACACCTATATAGTGTTATATTACACCTATAATAAATATACCGTGCAACTCAGTGCGCTCTGATTATTTTCTGAATATAGAGGGTTAAATATCCAGAATGATAGTAACAGTATAGCAAGCAGTCCTTTCAATGATTAGGTAGTATGCATGAGATGAGGTTAAAGCGGTTACTTTCCTTTTTTCAATGCTGCCTGGGTGGGTAATCCATTCACTCCCTAGACAAGTGTCCAAGAAAAACGTATCCAACCAATCGGTGGCCCAGAGAGTCTGGGGAGTCCTGAGAATTCAGTGATCCTTCGCTCACTTAACTCTCCAAATCCAAAGATCAGACGTAATTTTCTACTCTCATACCGATTTTTCTGGGGACTCACCACCCGACTGGCGGCGTAAACCTGTTGATATCTCCCAGGAAAAAAATGGAGAAAGGAGTGCAGTAACTCAAAATGTTTAATTGTTAAAAATACACAAATGCACTTACAAAATTCACGAACGTTTAGAGCTTTAAAAGCATTAGCAGAATCTCAGCTGTGAGCGGCGAGGACAGATCTTCCTTTGACTAGTTTCGTTCATTAACTTTTTTGTGTAGTGTATTGTGTATTGTGTATAATATTTAGATTTTCGCCACGTTGTTTTTTTTTTGTGTGATTAGGATACTTCAACTGTTTTCTGCTCACTGTATTGATGTTATTAAGCTGCAGGCTCTCTACATCCGCGTCTTGTCACCGTACTGCTCTACAAAGATGGCGCCGGTGTAGTCGGCTGCCGTCACGACTGCTCTGCAGTCGTGTAAGCATTTCACTGCATATCATACTTGTACGATTGTGTATGTGACAAATAAAATCTATCTATCTATCTAAACATGTAATATGCACATTGGCCCAACACAAAACTGTGATTTGGCCTTTAAAGTGGAAATAGGGGCTAAAATCATTAATGACATATTGCAGAACTACCATCTTGTATGCATGTTAGTTGGATTTTAGTTGCTAACAAACAAATCTGTTTTTTATTCTTTTTAGAATGCAACTGTAATGAACACTCCGATAAGTGTCACTTTGAAATAAAGGTCTATCAAGCCAATAATGGCACCGGTGGCGGTGTTTGTGATAATTGTCAGCACAACACTGTAGGAAATCAGTGTGAATTTTGCAAGCCATACTTCTATAATGATCCTCTTAAAGAAATTTCGGACCCAGACACTTGTATTCGTAAGTTATATTACACATTCTCAAGATAAAATGTTTAGCCTCAAAAAATATTTGTCTAGCTGAAAATTCTCAAAGATTATCACTTAAGACTGTTTTGTACTTGAAACACACATTATCAATTGCTTCATAATGCCTATACTACCTGATTAATGCCAGTAATGATTATATTTGTCAGATCAATAAAAAATAATCTCATTTATAGAGTACAGACATTCCTCGGTTAACGACTTACCTGCTTTGCGACCACTCGCACTTACGATGGACCGCCGAGCGACCTCCGACCTCGCGTGTCAGCGTCAGTGCGACGTGTCGCCGGCGGAAGTGACATCCTCCGATCTTCACTACGGGTACCGGTAAGTATTTTCATTGCCGATGTACAGTAAACTGTTCGGTACTGTACATCTGCAACGCTATACAGTACTGTACTAATGCAGTACAGTACTGTATAGAGTTCCTCACTTAACGACCAATGCGTTTAACGACCTGGTTGTAGGAACGGAACTCGGTCGTTAAGTGAGGAATGCCTGTACTATATATGGCTATATTGCACCAGGTCAATAGTCATATTCCTTTAGTTAGATTTTTTAATATTTATTTTCTGTCTATTAATATTTTAAACTATTCTAAAGGATTGAAAACAAAGTTTCAAATGTATTATCAATAATAGTGATCAAGGTTATAAGATGTACAAGATGCATTTGCTGTGTAAAATGTCTCCAATCTATTCCATTCCTCCACTTTGCTGATCTACTAAACTAGTTCTTTCTCAGGTTATAGGGTTTTTTCCTGTGGCTCCCTCTACACAAGTATCAGCTATTTCCCATAGCCAAAATATTATTTTATGTTCACTATTGCAGCAGTAAATTGTCCCTATAAATATTTGAAATGGTTGAAACTGTGAAAAGAGAACAGCAAAATGGGTACATTTTAAAGCCGTAGGCTGCTGAGTGAATGACCGACCTGAACACTGTTCGGCTATTCACTTCAGGCTGGTACGGCTGATTTCAGCCATACATCGGCTGAAATCAGCCGTACATCGGCTTGCTTCGCATGGCTTCGGGTCGGCCGAACAGGCCCAGCATGTTCGGCTGACCCGAAGTGCAGAAGGAGTTCGACTCCAACATCTGTATCAGCTGAACCGAACCTCCGGCAGGCTACTCACTGCTGTTCGGCCTATTCTTATAGATGACGAATAGCAGTGAGTGAATAGCCGAATGCCGCTGAGCGGCATTCGGCTCGGCTGTTCTGCTCGGCCCCTCAGAGGGACCGAGTAGAACAGAAAAATAGTTAAAAAAGTGTAAATAAAAAACGATTGTGCGGAGCTAGCAATGACAGCTAGCTCTGCCCAACAGTTTTCTATTGTCCGGCGGTTGTGCTGCCGTCAACAAAAAAGAAAAAAAAACTCTCTCGGTCGCTCTGGGAGCCTCCCGCTCCCAGCCGCCCAGGAGAGAAACACTGCTTTTTCTTTTTTTTTATTTATTCTGACACGGAGCCATGTCAGAATAGAAAAATAAATAAATAAATGTTTTGCCCATTGGAATGCATTGCTAGATTCCTATTGGCTATTTCAAATTGCAATAGCCAATAGTAAACTAGCATTGTACCCGCCCTCTGCTGATGGACCTGATGGGGAACTGCAAAAGAGGGCGGGTACAATG